TCTGACTAAACTCGCTTCTTTCATTGCTGGATATAAAATCTTCCAGATTACACTGACAAGGTAATAGCGTTTGAGTGATATGGACTAGCCCTTCCTGAGACCTTAGAGCGAATCGTTTTGATCTGTTAGGGCTATCCAGATTAAAGTTAGCTTCAATTCAGGGGATTCAATTAAATAGATGGAAAAACCAAAACCCGTAAACAACCAGAATCCATAAACACCAAATTTCCTTACAGGTCTTACAACCAGTCAAACCTGATGGAAGACCTGAAATTCCTGTATCGCACCGCTGGTCAGATGGGTCAAGGTATCACATTTATTTTCACGGATCAAGAAATAAAAGAAGAAGGATTCTTGGAATATTTGAATAATGTTTTGTCGTCAGGAGAGGTGAGAAAGTACTACTAGTTGTGTTGGTGGTTCAATGCAATGAGCATGTGCACCTCAGCAGCCAAGATTCGATTCATGCAATGTGCAGTTTCCTCGTGTAGTGACACTGGATAAATAAGTGAAGGCTCTTACTGGACGTCTAAAGAGAACAGTGTAGAACTGTCAGAATTATCCAGTATAAAATTAGTTTAGTTTAATCCCTGAAGACGTTACCTAACATTACGTCATTTCTGTCACAGGTCTCTAACCTCTTCGCCCGAGATGAGATTGACGAGATATGTGGGGAACTTATTCCGGTGATGAAGAAAGAATACCCGAGGAGACCTCCGACCCCGGAGAATCTCTACGACTACTTCCTGACTCGGGCAAAACGTAATCTACACGTCGCACTGTGCTTTTCTCCGGTAGGCAAACTGTACCACTTTACAAAACAATTTAAATCGTTTTTATGTCCGTTGCCAGGTTACATTTGTTCCATTCTATCCTTACATTATCAGAACAATGGTAACCAGGCATGTGAATTATCTGAAAGTGTGAATTGGATGAAAATGGTCATAAACATACATCCCATGATTAGGTCTGTCGTATTAGATCATTCTGTAGAGTGTTTTCCCCTTAATTATCTTGTGCCTAATATTTCTAAAGGTTGGTGAAAAATTCCGAAACCGTTCATTGAAGTTCCCTGGATTGATAAGTGGATGTACAATGGACTGGTTTAGCCGCTGGCCTAAAGATGCGTTGATTGCAGTCGCAGATCATTTCTTATCAGACTTTGACATTGTCTGTACCCCTGAGATCAAACGTGAAGTCGTTCAAAGCATGGGAGTCTTTCACGATGGAGTGGCGCTCACTTGTTCGGACTACTTTGAAAGGTAGCTTGTCCTGACTCGCGTGCACACAGTGGTTAAGCCTGGTTCACACTACTAAAGTTTCTGTGATCACAGTAGGAATTTTGCATCTGTAAATTCTAAGTTTTGAAGGATTTGTAAGAAATGTTTGAGTAAACTGACTTAATGTTAAACACTGAGTTAGTTCCCTCAAATATTTCTTACAAATTCGTCAAAACTTAGAATTTACCGATGCAAAATTCCTACTGTGATCACCGAAACTTTGATAGTGTAAATCAGCCATAGATAGATTTCATTTATCTTCCCCAGGTTCCGACGTGCAACTCACGTGACTCCTAAATCCTACCTGTCATTTATCAACGGTTATAAGACAGTATATTCACTCAAGCGGAAGCAGATTGGAGATCTGGGTGCTAGAATGAACACAGGTCTTGATAAGCTAATGGAAGCCAGTGAATCTGTGGCTGAACTTTCAAAACAACTTGCTGTCAAGGAGAAGGAACTGGCAGTCGCTTCTCAGAAGGCAGACACGGTAAGAGTGAAGTCATGTGCGCAAACTAGGACGCATTGTTGAGGGAACATTAAAAAGTTTATTTGTTTCTTTATTTGCCTAAACCTTGATTCCTTGGGACGTATTGAGCCTTGACGGGGTTTCGTAGTCGTCAGGGCAAGCGTCCTTCACTTACGGACTCATGTGAAAAGAGTCAGTCAACGCTCTGCCGAAAGTCGTGGGTTTTCTCCGGGTGCTCCGGTTTCCTCCCACAGGGAAAGTTGACAGGATGGGTTAGGATATACACAGTTAGGAATGTAGTATCACAATTGTTTTCAAGATAAATAGTGTAAGTAAGTAATAGACCTTTCCCCTTATGAGTGAAATTTTGATCTAGATATGCCTGGACAATAATTTCATCACAGCTTGAAAGAGCATCACAAAATTAGTAATATTCCGAAGTTTCGTTGCAAATGTTGTAAAATGCGGATAATATAGCCTTGCGAAGTTTGCCGTTTTTCAGTCATTTTGTATTACAAACGGGAAATTGATAATCAGATGACCAAACTGATTATTTCCCGTTTGTAATACAAAATGACTGAAAAACGGCAAACTTCGCAAGGCTATATTATCCGCATTTTACAACATATCGCAACGAAACTTCGGAATATTACTAATTTTGTGATGCTCTTTCAAGCTGTGATGAAATTATTGTCCAGGCTAGTCTAGATCAAAATTTCACTTAAAAGGGGAAAGGTCTATTGTTGTAAAGATAAAATAGTGTAAGTAAGTAATTAGGTGAGCGTAATATTTGATATAACGTGCGCGTAACGTGAGCATAATATTTGATATAACGTGCGTTTGCAAAGCTGCATTCTACCATCTATATAATCTGAGGAAAATTCGGAAATTTCTGGACAATGAAAGCATAAAGACTTTGGTCAATGCCTTAATAACAAGCCGCTTAGACTATTGCAATAGCCTGTTGTTTGGGACACCTGCTACTCACTTACTGAAATTACAGAGAGTACAAAATACTGCTGCCCGGCTCATCTGTAATATGTCACGATTTGACCATATAACTCCCACATTGATACATCTACATTGGCTTCCAGTGAAATTCA